TTTTCTCTTTTTCGGTCGACCGGTTCGGTTCACGAGGTTGGACGTGTCTGGGACCCTGCGCTTCGTCACGCTGGTGGGCGTCGACTGGCCCAGGCGGGGGCCCAGTTCGCCGAAGGGGCGCGTGTGAGGCTCTTTTCACCGAAGAAAGGAGGAATCTGGGAGTCACAACTTGCGGCGCGAAGGAGGTCTTTTTGGGGGCCCAAGAGTTTCAGCCGCTTCTTTGGGGGATCCTGGAGTGGTAACAATTGAGCTAATCTTCTTAGTTGAAATATGTTGAACTAGTGGACCTTTCGAAGTGAAAACATGTCGACCTGAGTGAACTCCTCACGCATGGCGTGGGACTCACCAAAACATGGAGCTTCCGTCGAAAGGAGCGACGCTTCTGGAGACCCGTGTTGAGGCAGAAAGGCGATATGGTATGATATGGTTTGCTTGGACACCCTACTTTACAGCTGGTTCTGAATTGCTTTTCCAGGGCGGTGACAGCTGTTTCTGGCCCATCCGCCCTATGCACCGGGTTCGAAGAAGTCTGTCAGTTGGGTGCCTTGGGTGATGTCTGGTGGGACCAGACAGACGGACGCAGGTTCCAGATCGGCTTCGCCCTGGGCCGGAAGGGGAAGGGAGGTGAATCCCTCACCGCCTTGAGATGCCAAATGCTCTTCCATTTGCCCCGTTCGTAGCGTCCTTGTTTCCTATAGTAGTAAGGCCAGGAGCCCCGTTCGTAGCGTCCTTGAGATGCCTTACAATGCCCCTTCCATTTGTCAGACTGGGAGCCTTGAGATCGATGCACAGAGGGACGTGGAATGGAATCCACGGACTCCTTTCATCCGGTTGCCCGTTTTGCCGGCCTCCTATCGAATTAGAGAGCTTGGCTTAGACGGGCTTTGGCAAGTTCCCATCCTGTGGCTCAAGTTTTCAACCCCCCAAACAGTGGTCCTGCATGAGAATGAATCAGAATGAATCCAAGTTGGTTTGACCTCACCCACTCACCAATAGCCTTTACCGAACAACCCTTATTTTACTAAGTTCTTGGACGAAAGTTAAGTTTCCCAAAAAATCTAGGAACCAAATCATTAGCACGAGCTATCCTGCGTCCTTAAGCTACTAGCTGCCTCTCCCTTACTCAATTAAGAGGGAGCGGGCTTTCAAACACATACCTGGACCTTCAAAGGGGTGTCCAATGGAGATCCCTATAGATAGGTAGTGGGCTGGGGCGAAATTTAGGCAGGTGACCCTGCCATGAAGGCGCTGGTAGATCCGCACCAGATCAATCGTGCACCGGATCGATCGCTGCAGGGATGTGCCGGCCACATGTGTTCGATTCCCAGGAATGGGGCGGTTGGAATGGGGTGCTCTCAGCAAAGGCTGGGTTGGAAAGGTGTAGTTGAAGGTGTGGCTCATGTGGTCACTATTTCAGGCGGATTCGCTGTCTTTCTCTCTTCAATGATAGTTCACCAATCTGTTTCTTCATGCCTTGCAGGCGAAGGCCAGGGTATGGCCTTCCAGGTGTTCGTCCAGTGAGAGGAAGGGGGCAAGGCCAAGGGCCAGCCTCAAGCACCCGTCCACCGCGGCGGTAATGGAAGCCACGGGTTCACAGTGACTGGCCTCGGAGAGAGAAAGATCTTCGGAGTCCACTCATGAAAGAAATGAGTCAATCAGCCTTTGGCAAAGTCTGAGCTTCGAACTTTTTGCAGTCCTTTGGATCCGGAGATAGATGCTCTCCCCAGCGCCACGCCCGGGTCCAACCGCCCACGGCCGTGGCCCGTGACCAATTGCACCGATCTACCGCCCCCGCCGGTGAGGTCTGGGCACGCGAAGAGTTCCGGATTCCAGATCACATCTTGTCACAGGTCTGGGAGCTCAGCACCTGGCGGACCTGCCTACTCACCGAAACGCCCGGACTCAGCCGCCGGACAGGGGGGGTCCCGTCGTCCCGGAGAGGCGGTCTGTGGAGCGGACGTTTGGACCGGAGCGAAACTGCCATTCGATCTGCTCAGCTCGCGCGGAGAGCTTTTCGACCTTTCGGACCGCAGTGGCGGCGGTCATCGACGCTTGGTCGGAGTGGTGCCACTGCATCCGACGACTTGGGCCATGGGCCCTACAGGGTGTTACATCGGCCCGACGGCCGGTTTTGAATGTTCCCGTGCATCAGATCACATTCGAAGATCACGGTGAGACCATGCTTTTGACAGGGAGATCTTCGCTCCGCTGCCGACCCGGAGAAACACCCAAAGCACCACCGGTGCTCCCCAAAGATCGGGGACGTTCTTGGGATGCCGTTCTTTGGGTGTCAGGGACCAACAAGGGTATCAGAGGGGGCCAAAGGGACCAACAAGTCTTCACGTACTTGAATCAATTGGAGTTGTGGATCCAAGAAGGGTGGGCTTCTGATCAGGGATTGCCATATCGCCTTGGTCTATGCTCGAAGTGGTGGGAGAAAGTTTATCGGGCCGAACCCGGACTCATCAACGATGACGCTCCCCACCAAACGATCTTGTTGTTCATGGTGGCACCCCGGGGTCTCACGCCTCTTCGAAACCAAACCCAGCACATGGTTCGAACATCCTTTCACGAAACTACACGGAGTACGGAGTGCACCGCCGCATCTTCTAACTCTTCTTGAACTATATTGTTGTTTGTTTTCTTTGTTTTGGAACTTGTTCACCCATTAGGAGCTTTGGGATTTCTTGGGGGAAAAAGCAACACCGCACCCGCGCCGCCCTCCAGGCCTCCGCTGCTGAGCCCGAGACCAACAGCGACGCCGGGGGGTCCACGTCGCTGGAGGTCGCGCGGTTTCGACCAGCACCACCCAGTTTGGATGGGTTATAGACCCCCTTGTAGAGGTATTTTTGGGTCTAATAACCACCCAACGGTCGCTGGTGCTGGGAAAAAGGGGCTTGATCAGTGGGTTTGAAACTCATGTTCTGTTCATGTTTCGATGTTGCTTCGTTTCTTTTGAAAAGATCTGAAGTTAGAGGTTTTGGTGTGGTTGGTATACCTTATTGATGTTTATTTGGTGGGCGAAGTCCACCCGGACCAGGGGACTAAACGGCTGGATCTGAAACGAAGAGCATGGGATGCTGCAGATGGCTCTCTTCCTTCTCTTGAGTGCAGAAGTGCCAGTGTGTCTGAAGGGAGACAGAAACTCCTAGAGTTGAAGGAGTAAAAACTGTCACTTGTTAGTGTCGATGGCAGTCCCTTCTAGAAGGTCGCCAGACCGACGCCTTCAAAGCCGTTCAGTGGCGTACCACGTACGCTTCGGGGGCGGACCGTTGAAAGCAGCGCTGAGGTGCTGACGGATGTGCGTTGTTTGCTGCCTCCGGAGATCTTGGGGGCTCCCTTGTTGAACAGCCGGGTGGCCTAGTTAGAGCGGCGGCTGGACGGAGCGGTGGACGGAGGAATGAGGCGGCCGAACAAAGGAGATACATGGATCTGCCGGCCTATCTGCGATCATGTATTTGGCCGGTCTTCTAGATGAAAAGGCAGACCTTGTGCACAGTTGGAAGACGAGCTAGGTCAGCTAGGTACATTCTGCACAGTTGGAAGAGCTACCAGCTACACACAGGGTGGCCAGTGACCCATGTTCCCAGGTCTCCAGGGGATAGGCCTTGCCTTAATGATCCATCTTCCTCGAGCCAAGAGTCTCATCGCTCGAGTTTCAGAGCCGAAATCGGACAAACACTCTCAGAGCCCAACTCCTGCGGCTCCGCGTGCGCTGAGGTCTTCACCTGGGGCTGCAAGACCCTCGTGGCACTCCCTTGCCCTCCATGTCAGGGGGCCTCGTCGGACCGTCAGACGCGTCCGTTCGGATGGGGTGAAGATTCGTGGATCCTTTTGAGGCTGCTCGGACTCTACGAACGTAGGGCATCGCGACTCGAGTCCGGAGCGTTCAGACGCGACACGCACGGGGCGCTGCTGGCCATACTACGAACGGAGCGTTCGGACGCTACTTTCACCCATGTGGAATGCCATGTCGAACTTTTTGGAATCCAAAGCCATGCTGCGCGCAGATGGTACCTCAAACACCTCAAGTCCCAGCTGAAGGGTGCACAGAAGAACCAGGGCTTCTTGGTATGACTCTTGGGCAAATAATGATGAGATGTGGCTCTTGTGAAGGTCCAAGCATTGAGAACAACCAGGAAGTCCCTGGTAGGTACGGGAAAGGGATGGAAGATGATGGAGGGATGGTTCACACAATGGATCCAGCATGATCCAGCATTAGTCCAGCAACATTTGCATCAATGTCTTCCATCTCAGGACCTTCCATCCAGTAGATGGGACTTTCCAGAAATGCAGAATTACTGTGCAACAGGTTGACAATTCCACCTTCGAATCGACCACCAATCTCTCCGTGCTTCCGCCTGCCTTCGGGCCCATCACGCGCCGAAGTCGCCCACGTCGCCAGGGCTATGCCTTTGTGGAAGCGACCCGAGTTTTTGGAGGCCTTTTCGGTGACAAGCCATGGGCACAACATGGCACAACTCTTCAAGGTTTCGTTTCGCGTGGTGTTTTTCGTCCGTGCGAACTGGCATGCATGTTCTTTTTGGACGCCTACGTTTAGATCGTGTATATTCTAGATTTCTAATGATTTATCTTGGTGTATATAAGGTATATAGGCTTCTTTTGTTTGCCTGAGATTTGGGACGCTTTCTTAAAGAGTTGATTTTGCTTTACCATTTGTTAAAACCAAAGGTCACCCAGAATGATGTTGTTCAATCCGATGAATCTTGATCAGCTCCATGACGGTGCTGGATCGTGTTGGAAAGAGAAGACCTGCCCTAGGCACGAAGCAGCTGTGCGTTCGTGTCCGACCACCACTGTTCTGGGAACGGTCCATATTCGTTCTGGGAACCCATACAAGCATCCATTGGGGACGCCCATGCCATGTTAGGAGGTGTTTCATGATGTTTTTACCAATCAGCCGCCTTAGTGTTTTTCAATTAATCTACCTCCTTATGTTCAGACCCCCCTTAGTCTTCCCATCTAGCTACCGGCGACCGGGCTTTCATCCTTCGTTTTGCTTCTATTGAGGAGACTCCCTTAATCTCCGCCTGGCCAGGTTTCGCGGTGTTTCCTCACATACCGGCGACAGGTGATTCCCACGCGGATTGCACGGAGCAGAGGACAGAGTGTCACCTTGCCAGGAGGCCAAGAGAGGCCAAGAAAGGCCACAAGAGGCCAAGATGAGGCCAAGAGGGTGAGCAAAAGCTGGACTTGCTCAGCAAATCAAAGGCTGAGCTCAGCCAATGCTAAGCCCAGAAAAACTAGAGGTGCGAATCAATTGACAGTAGGTTAGGAAGGCGTGGTATAGGGCCCGGGCTATACTTTATAGAGTTTTTTCATGCAAGGGTATGATTGTAATAGGGAGACCACGCTTGGTGCAAGGGTTCTTCTATTTTCCCATACTCTTGCCCCACCAAGGGACTCAACATCAGGCATGAACCCTAAAAGCCCCGGCCCTTCTGCTGCCTGGTGCGACGCGAAGACCTCACGGGCGTTTCGCCGGGCGTCCTGAGGCGCGCGGCGAACCTGCCACCCGTCTCGACGGCCTGGTGTTTGCTCTCCATGGCGTGACGCGGCAGCCGACGGGACCGGTGCGACGGAGGTGACGCGACGGGACGAAGAGGTTCTTCCGATTCGAGACGACGAAGGGGATGGTGGCTAATGATGTATGATGTTGATGTTTTAGGCATCGCGTGTTCAAGAACCTAGGCAAGTGCCCACTGGACATGATTATTTTTTTTTGATGTTGATGTTTTGAATGGTTTGGTGGGATTAAGGCTTGCAGAAACCGCCCCCCCAAGAGCATAATGAATTACTTGATCTTATAGATCTTGAGAAGCCTCTACTTCGCCCCCCCTCATTCCAACATGACAGGACCTGATGAACGATTCTTCACCGCTGGTGTTCTCCATTCATTTCTGTCACCATGTGTGACAAGTTGATTCGGATATTCCTTTGGTCCATTACATCCAGTCCTGTCTCGACAGGAACCAGTTCTCGTCATCGCTGGAGGCGACTGTACGTCCAAGCCGGTCCTGAGTTCCGGCCAAAAAGGTCCATTGATCCAGGGGCCGTGGATTTTTCGCAGGGCACGTCCATTTCGCAGCCCGACATCCATGGAACTGCTAGTCCCTTTGGACCCAGACACTCCAGACACTCGCATTGACAACGACCCCAACGGCTTTCAGCAGATTTAGGGTGATCGTCCCAGACAGGTCGGTCGGAACGCGTCGAGGTCGGAAGATGTGCCCGTGCAAGTGCAGGCCGCCGGTGGTTGGTTCAACCGGTTAGGCCGGGGAGAAAGGAAGAGAATGGGCTCGATCTGCCAGCGATGGACCGCTGCGGCTCGCGCCCACGAAGGTGCTCGGTCAGGTGGTGTTCCACGTCCGGTCCGGGTCCGGTTGGGACGTTTTCATCCGCCCTCAGGGCAGGCCAGTTCTCAAGCATCTCAAGCAGCACGAACTGTTCGGCTCTTTTTCGTCGCAATGGCCACATGTGCGGGCGAGGTGGAACAGCTGACGAAGGGCGACTCAAGACGCAAGGTGGAAGCATGTGGATTCTTGTGGACTTCCTTTTCCAGCTAAGACAAGGACCAATCAGTGATCATCGGCTTTTTGGTTTGCTGTTCGTGCCGTTTACGTGCTGGCAAAACACGATGTTCAACTGGAGCAGCCCATCCACTGAACTCCTTTTGCTTACCATCCACTAGAGTCACTAGAGGTGGAATGCATAGCCCTCTATCCCTAGAAGAGGGAATGGTTTTAAGATGTCTATTTACTAGATCATATACTAGATCTATGTTCGTGCGAACTAGCACAACTCCTCCTTGATCTTAGGTTCATGTGTGGAGTCTACGCCATGCCATTGAAGTCCTTGTTCTAAGGTGAGCAGTTCGGCGGCTATGACACGTCGCCGTCCCCCGTGCCTGAAGAAAAGACCAGAGGTGCGCAGGGTTCAGAAGAGGTTTCTACACTTTCCTCGAAGTGGGGTTTCCTTTGAGCTACAAGATGAGAGAGAGAGAGTGAGAGAGAGAGATTGAGTTGATGCGAGTTGATGTTAGTGGTGCTCCCATCTGAAGTGGTCTTGGATGAAGTAGACAAAAATCAAATATGTATCATATTATGCCGTGGGGTTCCAACCACCACTGATTCAATGGGCTCTACCAAACTACCAAGGATTTTAGACAACAAAACCAGGTGAACCATTTATTGAAATGGCCTTTGATTTTTTTTGGAGATGGATGTTTTTTCTTCGACCGAAGCACACGGTGTCTTGACCTTTTCCAGTCTTTCCAGCCACCTCGAGATCGGCCTCGAGCCTCGATCGGGCGCGCATTCCAGGTGAGCTGAGGCGACAAAATTCCAAGGCGGCGAGCCTGCGCCGCAGCGACAGCAGCTACGTCTTGTTGAGGCGCTTGGAGGAAGCGGGTGCCGAGTGGCGCGATGTGGACAACCTTAGTGACGCCACTTGGAGGTAAAGTGAGGAGAGGGGCGGGAGATGGGTTAAAGAGAGTGGCCAACCATGGGTCGAGCCTTTCACTTTTTCGACATTATATAAATGTATGTGCAGATCGAGATGTGTGATGTGTTGTGCAGAAAGCGGCGGTTGTATCGATGTCCGAAGCGAAGATGTTTTGGCTCCGATGAGTCTTGCCCTGGTTTCGGACGCGTTTGAAGATATACCTAGACCCTCCACAGGTGACAAAGAACTGCCCACAGTTGAGAAGGCAATTTTTTCAGTAGACATGAAACATTTCTGCCCGTAGTAAATAGAATCATCCGTATCCAACATCCGTCATGCAACCAGAGCAAAATTCCTTGACAATTGCGGTTGTTACAAAGCGAGTTCCGCTAATTCCCGCCTTTTTCCGCCAATTTCCACCCGTCCCGTTTCCGCAGATTTTTGCCCGTGAAATCTTCAGACTATTTCTAAAACAACCACAACCATGACCCTGCCAAACCAACTGGCTCAGATTGAACGGTCAAAAACCGATTTCCGCCCGAGGACGTCTTTTCGTGGATTCAGCCTAAAAAGGCACCTTTTAAGGAACATCCAAAAATTTGGAACCTTTTGGAGGTGTATGCGATGTCAGTGTTCTTTTGGTGTATCGCTGTGCAGATCTGTGGTGATGTTTGTTTTCACGCACCGAACAAGACATCTTGGGACCATCGTGGGACGACTGAAGAATGAACCTGGGACAAATCGTGGAGGGTTTTTGCGCCACCAAACCCATCCAACCCCCTCTTTTTCCAACGAAAAGATCCTCGGTAACCCAAGACCGACCTCCAACGCCTTCCTCTACTCGACCAAGGATCAGTCCCACAGTCCCGACACGGACGTCGCCGTGGACGCGTCAACGTCGCCGTGCAAGCGATTGGAGGTGGAACGCGATCGCTTTGTGAAGCTCACAGAGTTTGGACCTGTGCCCACGTTCCCGAGGATCCTCTGCGTGTCGCGAAGGTACTTGCGCAAGAACAAGTATGTGGACATCACGGGCGAGTACCATATCGACTTGATTCAGGACTTTGGAGGAGCTCCAATCATCTTGCCACGAACTACAAGAACCATCCAACAACTCTGTGAACATTTGCCAATGGACGGCTTGGTGATCGCAGAGGGCAACGACCTTTCCGACGACATTTTGCTCAAGTATGGCTGCAATATTCCAGAGAGGCTGACTGGAGAAGCGGCTCAGAAGTTTGCAAGCGACACGGAGATGGATGTGTCCAAAGATGAACTGGAGTTTGCTTTGATGAGGTTTGCTTTGGCTGCAGGTGTTCCGATCTTGACCTTCTGCCGCGGTTCCCAGATGCTAAACTGTATGAGAGGTGGAACCCTCATTGGTGATATTGAAAGCCAAACAGACAGCACCATCAAGCACTTGAGAGATTCCAGCGAGCCAGACTATGACAGCTTCCGCCATCCCATCAAAGTCGTGCCTAAGACTCCTTTAGCCGAATGGTTTGCGGATAGCTTGGGCAAGCATGGAGATCCCAACGTTCTCATGGTGAACTCCTATCATCATCAAGCATCAAAGGACCTCGGTTGGAGTCTGGTGCCAATGGCACACAGTCCGGATGGTATCATTGAGGCGTTCTACGATCCACGATATGATCCCAAAGCCGGACAATTCGTTGTAGGTTTGCAATTCCATCCCGAGCGGATGCTGAGTGACTATCCCGGCTGTGCCCGCTGCTACCAGTCCTTTTTAGAGGCCTGCACTGCGTATAAGGCAATCCAAGATTCTGGTCTCTAGAATATTTCCTCAGAGTTCTTAGAAGCGGGAGATTTCCGTTCTAGGCATATTCCACTGATTTCCACAGAGTTCTTGGAAGCCTTTTCATTCTTGATGTACCTAACTCCTGCTTTCGAGATCACGGGGTCCCCCTGGAAAACTGTCAGCATCGAGATCATGGGCGCATTGACCAGTCTATATAGATTTGCAGCATGGACTCCTGGTCCTAGTCCCCCAGCTGACGCCTAGTTTGTGTGTTGGAACATTGTTTTCCAGGGTAGGTAGATCCTGACTCTCTGGAAGCTGAGAAGTCTTTGAAAAGAACCGCGATCAGGAGGGTCGCCGAGCTCGAAGTTTAAAGCAACCGACTCTGGACCCCACCAGCAAAGCTGGTGCTGGGTATGTTGGAACTTTAGATTCGTCTGGCAGAGTCCTGATGAGAAGGAGGGTCAGGTCCGTCGAGCCGTGGCATCACATCTTTGGGAGCATTTTTGTGGGGTGCCGGTAGTAACTCCAGCACGTCTCAGTTCTTTTCATGCCTACCTGGAGTCTCTTCATGCCGACCAAAACACTTGCGGCAACCACCATGTTCCACGGTCACGATCGGTCACGATCGGTCAGAGCCTTTGACCCGTTTTTTTTCGATGTCATTCGTCGACCGGCATCTAACATGAGCGGCGAAGAACTCGAGGTCTTGCATATCGGTTTCTGTCCGGTTTCAGTCCCCTTGGGCTCGGGCGGGACTAGCTGGAACTTGAGCTATCCGCGATGTGGAGCGCCACTTTTGGAGCGCCAAGCTGGGGTGACTTGAGCCTCGATGCTGGGCCGGAAATGCGATGCTTTTCAAAGGGAGCACTGGAACATAGGGGAGACATAGATGGAGACAGGATAAAATTACTAGTCTTTGAGGTATGCCCAAGTTTGATGGATGCTGGGAGAATCAGCGTGCCTTGACAATCAAACAGGATTGTCAAGTGCGCAAACATCGTTCTCATGACAAGTTCAGTCACATTCCTCAAAAGCCAGCATGCCAGTGAAACATTCTACCCTCATTTGCCTCTCTTCACAGGAGTGGGTTTCGGACGTGTTGCCTGTTTCGCCGAGGAAGATCGCTGGTCTCGTGAGAGCGCCTTCAAACATCTCTTGGGCAAGACCTTGCATCGTCAGCGCGTCGAGGGCGAGAAGCATAGCCTATCGAAGATCTGCGAGGTCGACGTCGTGCCCCCATTCCCGAGGATCCTCTGCGTGTCGCGAAGGTACTTGCGCAAGAACAAGTATGTGGACATCACGGGCGAGTACCATATCGACTTGATTCAGGACTTTGGAGGAGCTCCAATCATCTTGCCACGAACTACAAGAACCATCCAACAACTCTGTGAACATTTGCCAATGGACGGCTTGGTGATCGCAGAGGGCAACGACCTTTCCGACGACATTTTGCTCAAGTATGGCTGCAATATTCCAGAGAGGCTGACTGGAGAAGCGGCTCAGAAGTTTGCAAGCGACACGGAGATGGATGTGTCCAAAGATGAACTGGAGTTTGCTTTGATGAGGTTTGCTTTGGCCGCAGGTGTTCCCATCCTCTCTATTTGTCGTGGCTCTCAGCTGCTAAACTGTATGAGAGGTGGAACTCTCATTGGTGACATTGAAAGCCAAACAAGCAGCACCATCAAGCACATGAGAGATTCCAGCGAGCCAGACTATGACAGCTTCCGCCATCCCATCAAAGTCGAGCCTAACACTCCTTTAGCCGAATGGTTTGCGGATAGCTTGGGCAAGCATGGGGATCCCAACATGCTCATGGTGAACTCCTATCATCATCAAGCATCAAAGGACCTCGGTTGGAGCCTGGTGCCAATGGCACACAGTCCTGATGGTATCATTGAGGCTTTCTATGATCCGCGATATGATCCCAAAGCTGGACAATTCGTTGTAGGTTTGCAATTCCATCCTGAACGCATGCAAAGCGATTATCCCGGATGTGTCCGCTGCTACCAGTCCTTTTTGGAAGCATGCAGCGCGTACAAGGCCAGTCGAGATACACATGGTTGGTGGTCAAAAACTGTGTAAACCTGGCCCGAAGAATTGCTGAAGCAAGACATCCGCCTCTCAGGTGCCAGCTACGTTTCACCGATACCAACCAGGTTCTTGTTTGAAAGTGCTGTTGACACGTTGGTTTAAGACCGTAGACTCTGGCCAAATTGTCAAAACGCCATGGATACATGACGGTTCGGGCTTTCAAAATGCCCCGTAACATGGAAGCATCAATCCAGGGACATGGCCATTTTGACCACCAGCCACATGTCTAGCGGGCGACGTCTAAGAAATGATCGGAATCCTCATCGGGATCACCTTCCATTTCGTCACACTCTTCCAAGCAGTCGTGCTTGTACAGGCTCAAGAGATCCATGTACAGAGCGTTCGAAATCGCTGACTTCTTTGGTTTCAAGGTTTCAAAAGGACACCACAGATCCTGTGTCTGGACCACTGCAATGCACCGCGCGTGCGTTTGCACCGAAATCCGTGACATGCGCATCTTTGCACTGGGTGCTTCGGTGGCAGATATAGCTGTAGAGCTTGGTCCAAGTCGCCACGTGGTGTTCTGGGTCAATCAGCGCAGAGCTGCAGACACAGCAGATATATGCCGAATCTTTTCAGACATTCTTCTTTCTGCTCCTGCTACATCCTGAAAGATATGGTATTTGACCCGGTGCAGCTCAAGATGTTGACCCGGCGGGCCATCCATGTGGTGATTTTTGGGGCGAGAGACGACCAGCGGAACTTGACCCGTGGACTCTTGAAGAAAAGGAGACGACGAGCGGTGCCCGACGGCCACGCGGAACCGGCCCCGATCGTCGCTGTTCATCCTTAAAGCCCCGGATCGTTGTCTCGGGTGGGAAGGGAATGTGAAATCGGATTTCGTTGATGGCACAGTCCCGGAGCCAGAAAAATCCTTTTGGGGTGCCAGTGCCATCTACTCTGAAAGCCTCAGTAAATGACCAGGGTTCGGTTTGCTTCTGACCTCAAACGGGGAGAATGCTCCCCACCAGCTTGCGCCGGTGTCGGTGGACACCTGCCGGTAAACCGGTGCTGGAACTGACGGAAGTCGGGGTGCCCAGAGCACTCATCACTGATCGTTATATCACTAACCAAGAAAACGCTATCAAACGAATCAAGCGTCAATGGGCACGTTCAAAGAACATCATAAACCAGTTGTTCCATGTCGTTTCTTTTGTTTCCCATGGAGGATGACAGGAATGGAATTCCTGGCCGATGGCGTGTATTCGTCCATCGGAACTTGCATGCCACTTTGGTCAACGCTCGAAGTTTCTTGGACTTAGTGACTTAGTGTTTCTTGTTTCTAATAGCAAAAATTGTTCCTAGTAGTACGGCCAGGAGCCCCTAGTAGCGTCCTTGCTCCTAGTAGCGATGCCAGGAGCATCTAGTAGCTTCTTGCTACTAGTAGCAAACATGCTTAATAATGGACAGGATCCACAACTCATGTTCATCATGTTTATCTGCCATGCGACATTCGGTGACATTCCTGGATCTTCCAACTAGGTGCAGAATTTCTGCCTTTAAAGCCAGCCAAAAGGCAAACATTTTGGCACAGTTGGAAGATCTAGGTTCTCACATCCGGGTTTTGCCTCAGAGCCACCTTCTTTCATTCGCTCGTCCAATTCGCCCTAAGACGGACATTGGGACATGTGCACTGTGGGCATCGATGTCCTTAAGCATGAAGTGGCAATTCCGCTTGGCAACACCCGCAGCCAGGCACGGGTGCGAAGCTCTTCCATCCAGTGTTTGCTGAAGGAATAGCAGGGGATGCTGGGACATGCTGAGGCCTTCAGGAGTCTTGGTAAGGTTCCTCCAAAAATAGATCTATCTTCCACGCAGCCGCAGTCCTTCCATTTCTTGCCTGCATAGCAAGCATGCAGGGTATCGTATTGTGTCCCACGCAACATGGTCATACGAAGGCCTCCCAAGTGCATGCATTTGCTTGATTGAGTTGGAGGGTGCTGAGGGAGAAGTTTGCAGCTTTCGAACTTTGGGTGATTGGGAGCAACGAGGACCAATGAAACGAAGCGGGTTCAGATGACAAAACAGTTGAACTATTGAGCTACACCCCTGACAGCTGATAGCGTTGCAGCTACCGATCGTGTTTGCATTTTGCTTCATTTCTGCTGCTTGAACACCTCGTGGTCCGTCTCGCCTTTTGGGGTTCCTCAAAAGATTGTGCTCACTTGGGTTCAGCTGACCGGAAAGAGACAACCACTGCAGACGGGCCTCTGCATGATCCTGCATGTAAGAAACATCTAGAATCTAAGGGTACGCAAAAGAACATGGAAAAATAGACACACTATGACACGCTCTATCACGGCCATCACCACAATTGGTTCTACAGCAAGGCATCTCGGGAAATGACAAGTCGGAGTGAGGAACCCTCCGCCCGTGGGGCCGCTTCCGGCCCAAATTGTTCTGCGCCAGGACATCAATGCGACCTTGCAGAACTTGCGTGGTGCTTCCTCGTAGCTCTTGCATGTGAGATCAAACGAATGACATGGTATCAAACGAATCAGATTCGTCAATGGAAGCTTTCGTTGCGAACATCATCAAATCAGCAGTTCCATGATATTTCCATGTCGCTTCCTTTTTTCTCGATGGAGGATTTCTTTTGTCGGGGTGTTCCTGTCACATCCACATATACAGAACATGGAACTGGTGTCTTCCACACTTTCTTTTGTTGCGTCTCATATTTCAGGCGTCTCATCCGCAGCATGGTCATCCAATTTCGATCGTGGAGATGTGGTGATTTGCGGTGAAATTCTATTTGCATGCCACGCCACAAGCTGCTCAGTTGGATCCTAGTTTGCAGAATCGGAAGAATCATGCAGATCGGTTCTCAAGCTCGTAAGGCCTTTTACACCCTTAAATGATGGCCATTGGCATAAATTGGATCAAATAGGTATCTATTGGTTATAAGGACAAGAGAGAGGAAGAAAAACAAAACAAGTGAACATCATATATAGGTCAATGGGTGTTCTTTGCCCAAAGAACATCATTGATCACAAGGTAGGCATGGTTTCGGTGCATGTGACATGTCAGACTTGACAGGCAAAAGGTGCATTTCTCGGTCTCCTTCCACGAGAACTTGGATTGGGTCCTGTCGGCGCCCGAGAAGTTTTCCTCAGGGCCGACAACTCACAGAAACCACCCAAGAATTCTCTTCAGATTCAATAGATTCTAACAATCTTGAAACCAGCAACACACACACATCAAATACACCATTTTGGGATCGCAGCCTCATAAAGGACAGCCACATACAGCATGCGCCAAAACATCAACGCCTCGTGTTGAGCGCAGTACCGGCGCCAGGTCGGTCGCTTCGCGTCGCTCACTCCGTTCCGTAACGAGCAATGCGCCGCCTGTTCTGTATCGGTTCGGGTCCGATCGCTCCGAACTGGTCGGTCGGTTCGCGAGGCGCATGCCGTGCCGTGTCGCTTCAAACCCCTTCGACGACATCAGGCCTTTACCCGAGGAACTCTTCGTGAAGGTCGTTGATCCGTGGCGGGGCGAAGAGGTGGAGAGGGGCGGGGCGGAGCCGAACCGGAGAGTGATGGTGGAGATCTTGAGCACGACGCCTCTCAATTGGGGGAGCGGATGGTTCTTGCGGATGGTCTGCAGGTAGATGGTAAGTTATATAAGTTCAATGTTATTGTATGATAATGTAATATAATATCAAGCAGGGACTTCAGGATGCGGTAGGTGGTGATGTATACCTCGTCGCCGGAGGTCTCCAGATGTGTTCATGGAGGTAGGTCCGGTCCAGACAGGTCCGACCTCGGTAGGATGAGAACGCCCGCAGGATGCCTGTCGCCCCCCAAAACGGTTGCGCAGCTGAGCGCTCCGGGGAGCTGTCGTGTTTTTTCAGGTGGCCAGCAGCCCTGCTGGACCCTCATATGGAGAGATCGGTCCCTCATATGGAGGGGTCTGGGGTCGAAGCAACGCGGTCGGGCTGTGAACGGAGCTTCGCCGTGGGGCCAAGATGCGGTTGGATCCCAGGCCCGAAGTGGTGAGCTGGACACCCTATGTGGCGGCAGGGGTTGGGGGAGCCCAGCACATTGGTGTGGGGCATCTCTGAACACAATCAAGAGGCTGTGCAGCATGGACGGGGGCGATGGATTGGATGGATTGGATGGATGTTTTCTGGGTCAACTAGGTTTCGGACGGAGAGAAGTCAGCAATTCCTTACGCGCCACTGGTTATGCATGAGACAATTCTAGACCGATACCAATCAAGGTATATTATATTACAAGAACATTAATAATAGCCCTCAATAGTCGGGGATCAGTTCCCGAGCTGCACATGCGTGGATGCGTGGATCAGTACTCCAGTCCATGGTTGATCTGGGAATCACCAAAGCCCTGTGAGACACGCACACATATCTCATCTTCAGTTGGGAATACACAACTCGTCCCTTTGCAAAGGCAACTTGAGAACCATTAGCAAAGCTAGTATGACTAGCTTTACAAGATGACCAACCATACTCAGAAGTGAGTATATATAGTAGCTATGAAAACCATTAAACACCCCATATTCCGAACATCCATATTTATCCCAAAGATCGAGCCACTCGGCTCCGGGTGTTGATCGGGGTTTCATCTGCTGTGTGGGGTCGCCAAAGTGTCATCATGTCTCCACCGTTTGGTCGGTATCTCCCAGGAGATGCTCACGGGCACTTCCTTAGATGCAAGGAACTCAGCAGGTGGCGCCAGTGATCGTGAGGGCTGTAACAAGGGCGGTGGTGACACTTCAATTGGTGTTTCGGCAAGCGACGTTAGCCATTTCTTGCGGTCCAAGAGCCCATGGAAATGGAGGAACACTGGAAAAACCCTGGGTTTTCCGCAGAAAACTCCGAATCTCAAAGCCATTCCGCAAGGAGTTGGAAGACTTCAGACCCTGTGGAGGGTAGGACGGGGACAGACATGTGATCAAACTCAGATCACATGGGGCCTGACACACATGTCCCTTTAATGACTTATATACCCCGAAAAAAACAGGTCCAGTCTGGCCCAGTAAAACCTGGTCCTGAACACCTCATTGAGTCGGGTTTGGTCTTATGACATGAGGTCTAGGTGATCTGTATAGGCTAATCATGTGAGCAATTTGAGATCCTTCATCGCCGGCCCCAAATTCAGTGAGCTGGTCTTTGTTTTCTTTCCACCAGTGACTAGTGCTTTGCTGCTATTCCACTTGTGCTTCAAAGCCTTCCAGACTTCAAAGACCTGACCTGAAATTCCAGCTAATGGCATCTTTAAGTAATTTTCCATTTGACCAGTGCCTTTCCTGCACATCGACCATGTTCATGTTTGAAAGATGAAAGACCTGATCTTCCTTGATCTTCCATCAGTTTGCCCGAGAAAAAGCACCTTTCTGCCTGAGGTTCTGATCGAGGTGCCGGGAGAGACCACGCTGATGAGTACGTCCGGAGCGCCCTGCGGTGCGCCGTGCCGCTTTTCGCACGCCGTGCGGGTCGTCCCAGTCCCCGACGTCGATTGTGAAAAGGAGACCCGGTTTGGGTCGGGACATGTGGAAACAACAAAAACCTGGGTTTTTCAGACGACTTGGTGACAGTTGCTGTTTCTTGTATTTCTTGTACCGGTTTTGAAGTCATACCTAGCCCCTCCACCTGTCGAATCATCTGAAAAATGACAACAAAACAGGATGACACAGCTCCGACCGACCTCAGTCCGAACATGAGAGCCGTCGGTTGATATCGGACTTGGAGGGATTGGATCTGATCCGGGTGACTCTCAAAAAAAAACTCTTAGGTTTTCCATGGTTTTCCAGTGTTCCTGGGGTAGAACAGTAGAACAAGGACCAAAAGGCCAGCCTAGAGAGGCCAGCCACAAGAGGCCAGCTTCACTCCACCTGATAGCAACGCACTTTTCTCATAGCAACATCGTGAGACCAACCCCATGCAGAGCCTCCAGCTTCGAGCTGGAGCGAATACCAACAAATCTGCTCTTGATCTGCTCTCCGAACCCGCCAGATGGCACTCTCGAGCACTCTCTAAGCTTCTCTCCTCCCTTCCGCTTCACTGATTCGAACCAGGGAACAGCGAGAGACCGGGAGCGCGACACCAACCTTTCTGCCCAACAAATCGGAACCTTTCGCGGAGCCGAGCCGCGGCCTTTCAGCAGCCGAACCCCAGCGTTCTCGACCAACGGCTGACCGAGGTTCAACCACTGGTACTGCGCCTGGCGCTCCGTCCAGGACGGGATTCGACCTCGGCGGCCGGAGGGGAGACCGGGAGAGTGTTCACAGATCTGCTCAGGAGGCGAATTACTCCTTCTTCTCCTCATCAAGGCTGAAGTATGTGAATACGCAGGGTAGCCCAGAGGCTCGAGGCTGGAAGGCTAGACGGTGGTGATGTGATGAGATGGAGACAGGTGTGACCAGTTTGACATTGTCGTACTCGTGGTGTACTTAGGTGATCCTGGATGTCGGATTTCATCGATCTGGGAAAGAAAGAATTACAGAGTGATCATCGCCAGTATGAAGTCATATTTGCTAGACTCTTCTCAAACTGAGGTTGCGTTGCTCGCCCGGACCTGCAAAACCCGCGGTTTGCCGTGGCGCTTGAGGTCCTTCTTGCTTTGCCCATTGAACTTTGCCAACTACAAGAACTTCCAACAGGTTGCAGCTGTGGGCATGGCACGGAGAGTCCGTGTAAGCAGGGAACAGGACATAATGATTGAACAATTGTTTAGTTAAGAAGTATCGCTACTATAGCAACAAGATGCTACTAGGGGCTCCTGGCATCGCTACTAGGAACAAAGGGCATCGCTACTAGGAGCAAGGACGCTACTAGGAAAAAACACTTGGGCACTCAACACTATTGTTTGCTTATTTTAATTGGATTCTAATTAAATTCTATTTATTGTTTCTACTAGCAAACATTGTTCCTAGTAGTAAGGCACTTACTAGAAGCGATGCACTTGTTACTAGAAGTTGTAGCGCCTTCAAAAAACCTGGGCACTCAAGACTCTTCGATGACTCTTCAAGAGCAACCTGCGGTGTGCGTTCTCCCCGGAAGACGGGATCTTCTTTTTTGATATCCTCCCTCGTCGTGCATTTTGGAAGACAAAGATAGAACAGAAGGAAGCAAACACAAACTGCAATATGATACCTTTCACAACTATAGCATCTTCTCCCACTGAACAAGACCGACCTCCCAACGGACCGTCGCCCCGCCGGACCCGTGCCAGGCCGCAGGGGCCACGGCCTTTGAGCTTCACTACGCCCTGAGCCACGTCCCACTGGGGGTCAATGAAACAGCGCCTCGTCCACGGATGGAGAGGATCGGAGGATGGACATGGAGAGGATGGACATGGAGAGGATGGACTGGATTTCTTGTAGATATTTGTAGATCAGGAAGCACTTTTTGGAGCAACATAGGAGCTATTGAAGAGTCTCTTAAAGAACTCTATGTAGTTAATTAGGCCATATACTTACAGTAACATTACTTAACTTACCACAGTCAGTAGACCACCACTTCCAGCTTCCAGCTATCAAACGCGTCTCAATGTCACCCAGCTGAAGCTGCGCGCTTCAGCTGCTTCGATCGGACGGGGCTGTCCGGTCTCAACGATCGGAGAATCCGGCTGTGCCCCGTCGATCAAGCACCAGGATCGACCTGCACCATGTATGGATCAGTACCTGGATCGAACTGAAACGCCAAGAGGAAAAGGCCCAAATGCAAAACCATTTTTGCCGGTACGAACATGTTTTCTTTGTCCGTTCCAAAAACGGCATTTTGGGTTGTGACCAGCGGAAACCGGCAAACACCAAAAAGAAAGGGCGTTTTTGAGGCTTCCAAACGGCGTTTTAAGGCGCGGCGTCTTTGCCCATCCGTGGATTTTGAGCACATGTTTGCAACCCCTAAACCGGCAATTGTGTTTGATTACGGCGTCTTTTCACAAAAACCTATGCAACAATTGTGCCGTTTGAAGATCCAGGTATGCATACATTGACCCCCAACCTCCCAAATGTAGGCAGCTATATGGCATATACATTGGTCTGGGTATGAAACACAGGCCCTTTCGATAGGAATAAACTTGAAGGAGGCCGCTTTGTTCCATGTTGTTTTCCCACATGTCTGTGGCCCCCAGTCATCTTTTGTAGTGGACTGCCCATGACTGCCCTAACTATATCACAGCCACAGGTCGGTGAGATCTCTTCCCTTCCTCTGGTTTGAGATTCCCGAACAGACCAGGTCTACCCGCTGTAAAAGAGGAACCCCACCGAGCCTTTTTCCAGAACGAGCGGACACCCAACCCCCACGTCGGTTGCGCAACTTCACGCAGCGACACAGCCGGCGAACACGCGGAACGCTGCTGAAGGGCTTGGTGGAGACCAGTGGCTTGGTCTCCAGTCCCATCCGCGTAGGGGAGCCCCGATGGGGGCGACCGCTGGGTTGGTGGGGGCGTCGCGGGCGTAGTTTCGGACGCAGGGAAGCACCTCGTTTCTGCCAACGCGGGTTGGATGACTGGTTTCGTTGTGTGATGAGTGGGTTGGATGATTTGGTTGAGGATGGGTAGATGATCAACTTGACCCAAGAGGCAAGCTAGAATAGCGGTCCAGCACCCTCTCGGTGTGATGAGCCTCTTCTGCGAATGTCTAACATGGAGCTGTGCAAGCAAGCAAGCAAGCAGGCAGGCAGGCAGGCAGGCAGGCAGGCAGGCAGGCAGGCA